TCATATCTATCCATCCATCTCATTCTGTTCATATTTATCTATCTATTTATCCATCTATCTATCTCATTCTGTTCATATCTATCTATCTATCCATTTATCCATCCATCTCATCTGTTCATATCTATCCATATTCTGTTCATATCCATCCATCTATCTATCTATCTTATTCTGTCCACATCCATCTATCTCATCATCATCCATCCATCATATCTATCTATCTATCTATCTCATCCCAGTCTGTTCATATCCATCCATCTCATATCTATCATCCATCCATCCATCTATCCATCTATCTATCCATCTATCTATCTATCTTCATTCCATGTTCATCCATCTATCTATCTATCTTATCTATCATATCTATCATCCATCCATCCATCCATCATTCTGTCCATCCATCTATCTATCCATCCATCTATCTATCTATCCATCTATCTATCCATATTTCTATTTATCTATCATCTATCTATCATCCATCCCATCTATCTCCATCCATCTATCCATATCATCATCCATCCATCTCATCATGTCTACATCCATCCATCCATCCATCTATCCATCTATCCATCCATCTATCTCATCTATCCATCTATCATCTATCCATCTCATATCCATCATTATCATATCTATCCATCTATCTCATTGTTCATATCTATCCATATCTATCTCATTTCTGTTCACATCTATCCATCTATCTATCCATCTTATTCTGTTCACATCCATCTATCATCCATCCCATCATCCATCTATCTATCTATCTATCTATCTCATTCTGTTCATATCCATCTATCCATCCATCTATCTATCTCATTCTGTTCATATCTATCGATCTATCCATCTCATCCATCTATCCATCATCTATCTATCTATCCATCCATCCATCTATCCCCTATCTATCTATCCATCCATCTATCTATCTATCATCCATATCATCCATCTATCCATCCATCTATCTATCTATCTATCCATCTATATATCTATCTATATCTCATTCTGTCCATATCTATCTATCTATCTATCTCATTCTTTTCCATCTATCCATCCATCCATCCATCCATCCATCTATCCTATCCTTATCCATCCATCCATCATCCATCCATCCATCCATCATCTCATTTAATATCTATCTATCTATCCATCCATCCCTGTCCACATCTCATCTATTCATTCTATCCATCCATCCATCCATCCATCCATCATCTATCTCATCTGTTCATATCCATCCATCCATCCATCATCCATCCATCCATCTATCATCTATCTATCTATCCATCTATCTATCTATCTATCTCATTCTGTTCCATCTATCCATCTATCTATCCATCCATCTATCTATCTTATTCTGTCCATATCCATCTATCTATCCATCTGTCTATCTATCTATCTATCCATCTATCTCATCCCCCATCCATCCATCCATCCATCCATCATCCCATCCCTGTCTATCTATCTATCTATCCATCCTATCTATCTATCCATCTATCCATCATCTGTTCTATCCATCCATCATCATATCCATCTATCCATCCATTTCTCATATCTATCACATCCATCCATCCATCCATCCATCCATTCTGTTCATCCATCCCCATGTCTACATTCATCTATCTATCTATCCATCCATCTATCCATCCATCCATCCATCCATCCATTCATCCATCTATCTATCTATCCATCTATCCATCCCATCCATCCATCATCCATCTATCTATCTCATTCTGTTCATATCCATCTATCTATCTATCTATCCATCCATCCATTCTGTCCATCATCCATCCATCCATCTATATATCTATCTATCTATCTATCTATCTATCCATCCTATCCCATTCTATCTATCCATCCATCCATCCATCTCACATCTATCTATCTATCTCATTTTATCATCTATCTATCTATCCACATTCTGTCCATATCATATCATCCTATCTATCTATCTATCTATCTATCTCATTCTGTTCATATCTATCTATCTATCCATCTATCTATCTATTCATCTATCTATCTATCTATCAAACATTCATATCATTCTGTTCATATCTATCTATCTATCCATCCATCTATTATCCATCTATCTATCTATCTATCACTTATTCCTATCCATCTATCTATCTATCATCCATCCTATCTCCATCTATCATTTATCTATCATCTATCCATCTATCCATCTCATCCATCCATCCATCTATCCATTTCTGTTCATATCTATCTATCTATCTATCCATCTATCTATATATCTATCTCATCTGTTCATATCATCTATCTATCTATCTTATTCTGTTCTATCTATCCATCTATCTATCTATCTATCTATCTCATTCTGTCCATATCATCTATCTATCTATCCATCCATCTATCTATCTCATCCATCCATCCATATCCATCTATCTATCATCTATCCATCTATCTTATCCATCCATCCATCCATTCCATCTATCTATCCATCCATCCATCCATCATATCCATCCAGTCTGTTCATCATCCATCCATCCATCCATCCATCCATCATCCATCTATCCATCATCCCATCTGTCCACATCCATCCATCTATCCATCCATCCATCCATCTATCCATCATCCATCTATCTATCATTCATCCATATCCATTATCTATCCACATCACATCCATCCATATCCTATCCATATTAGACATCCATCTATCCTATCCATCTATCCATCCATCTCATTCTGTTTCATATCTATCCATCCATCCATCCATCCATCCATCCATCCATCCCATTCTGTTCATATCCATCCATCTATCTCATTTTCATCATATCTATCCATCTATCTATCCATCCATCCATCTATCCATCTTATTCTGTTCATATCTATCCATCCATTTATCCATCCATCCACATCTATCCCATTCTGTTCCATCCATCCATCTATTTTTCTCATATCATCCATCCATCCATCTATCTCATCTGTTCACATCTATCTATCTATTTATCCATCCATCCATCCATCCATCCCATCTATCATATCTATCTATCATCCATCCATCTCATCCTGTCCACATCCATCCATCTATCTATCTATCCATCTATCCATCATCCATCCATCCCATCTATCCATCCTATCTATCCATCCATCCATCTATCTATCTATCTATCATTCTGTTCATATCTATCATATCTATCCATCTATCTATCCATTCCATCATTCATCCATCTATCTATCTATCCATCTATCTATCCCATTCTGTTCACATCTATCTATCTATCTATCTATCATATCCATCCATCTATCTATCCTACCCATTCTGTTCTATCTATCTATCCATCTATCTATCATCATCCCATTCTGTTCATATCTATCTATCTATCTATCTATCCTATCTATCTATCTATCTATCTCATTCTGTTCACATCTATCTATCTATCTATCTATCTATCTATCTGTTCATATCTATCATCTATCCATCATTCATCTATCTATCTGTTCATATCTATCCATCCATCTATCTATCATATCCCATTCTGTTCATATCATCTATCTATCTATCCATCTATCTATCTATCTATCATCCATCCATCTATTCTATGTCCACATCCATCCATCTATCCATCCATCTATCTATCTATCTCATTCTGTTCATATCTATCTATCTATCCATCCATCTATCCATCCTATCTATTCTGTCCACATCATATCTATCTATCCATCCATCCATCTCATTCTGTTCTATCCATCTATCTATCCATCCATCTATCTATCATATTCTGTTCGATCATCCATCCTATCTATCCATCCATCCATCCATATCTATCTATGTCCATCTATCCATTCTCCATCCCATCTATCTATCTATCCATCCATCCATCCATCCATCCATCCATCCATCCATCCATCCATCCATCCATCTATCCATCTATCACATCTATCTATCCATCCATCTATCCATCTGTCCATCCATCCATCCATCCATCCATCATATTCTGTCCACATCCATCCATCCATCTATCCATCCATCCCATTCTGTCCACATCCATCCATCCATCCATCCATCCATCCATCATCCATCTATCATATTCTGTTCATCCATCCATCCCATCTATCCATCCATCCATCCATCACATTCTGTCTATCTATCCATCCATCCATCCATCCCATCTGTTCACATCCATCCATCTATCTATCTGTCATCCACATTCCATCACATCCATCCATCCATCTATCATCCATCCATCCATTCATATCTATCTCCATCCATCCATCCATCATCCATCTATCTATCCACATCCATCCATCCATCCATCCATGTATCCATCTATCTCATCCCATCCCATCCACATCCTCCATCCATCCATCCCATCCATCATCCATCCATCCATCCATCCATCCATCCATCCATCATCCATTCTGTTCCATCCATCCATCCATCTATCCATATTCTGTCCATCCATCCATCCATCCATCCATCACATCCATCCATCCATCCATCCATCCATCATATTCTGTTCATATCTATCTATCCATCCCATTCTGTCCACATCCATCTATCCATCCATCCATCATCATATTCTGTCCACATCCATCCATCCATCTATCCATCCCATCCCTGTCCACATCCATCCATCCATCTCATTCTGTTCATCCATCCATCTATCCATCTATCTATCCATCTATCTATCCCATTCTGTCCACATCCATCCATCTATCTATCCATCCATCATCCATTTCCATTCTGTTCATATCCATCCATCCATCCATCTATCCCATTCTATTCATATCACATCTATCCATCCATCCATCTATCTATCCATCTCATTCTGTTCATATCTATCTATCTCTCATCTATCCATCCATCTATCTATCTATCTATCTATCTCATTCTGTTCATATCTATTCATCTATCTATCCATCTATCCATCTATCTATCTATCTATCTATCTCATTCTGTTCATATCTATCTATCTATCTATCTATCTATCTATCTATCTATCTATCTCATTCTATTCATATCTATCTATCTATCTATCTATCTATCTTCCACTCCCCTAATTGCTTTTGTCTTTCTCACTTTTCTGCTCCTGTTCTCTTGTTTCTCCCCCTCTTTCTTTTTTCTTATTTTTTTTTTTCCAACTTCTTTCTCTCTCTCTATATATCATTCTTTCTTTCTTTTAACAAAGCTTTTCATTTTAATATAATGAAAAGCTTTGAAAAAAAAAGCAAGATGTCGCGGAGGACAGCCTAGATCACATTCAGAAACATTCGGAAATCACCCGAAAAATCTACATTTTCTCTAATTTTCGGGGCTGTAGTTGAAAGATAGACTCTTTAGATGATGGAAGGGTAGCGCCCCACATCACACTTTTGATGAGAGCCCTGCGTATATCTACACTTTCTTATCACAGTTGTCTTGTTTTATTGTCAATATTTTGTTATTTTAATTTGAAACATAGTTTGTACAGTTGTAATAAATTTATCGGATTTTACAAAGAAATTAAAATTAACTTTTACGGTCAAATTCTAGGTTTGCAACTTTCGTCTTTTTTTAATCAAATGCTGATATATAAATGTTTAACAAAAGAAAAAACTGGGCCTTATCCAAATCGTATTTGATAGCTATATATATATATATATATATATATATATATATATATAAAAGTCTTTTTCTCAACTTCTAGAAATCGGAATTATCGCAGTTTGCATTCGAGCTTTTCATATTCTTCGATTCTTCCGATGTAATATGTCATAAATAAATAAATCTCATTTGTCTTCTTTGCCATTGTCTTTGAATTTTAGATGAAATTTCAAAATCTTTGAGTAACAGATCTCACAGTCAAAAGAAAGAGAAAGTTTCTGATGCGAAACTCATTTCGACTTCTTGAACTAAACTTTTACCTTGACATGAACTAGAAATATAATCTTGTATCTCTATCTATAAAAGGCAGGATGTGTGTGTGTGTGTGTGTGTGTGTGTGTGTGTGTGTGTGTGTGTGTGTGTGTGTGTGTGTGTGTGTGTTTAACGAATGCACGGCCGCAATTTTCGACGGATTTGCACCAAAATTTACATGCACATGCTCCAATTTAGCGGGAAAGGCCAAGACCGACTTTGAATTTCCCAACTCCCATCGATAGTGGAAATAATCGATTTTTCATGCTTCTACAGCAGTTTTCATGTAGTTTGTGGCCATTTTCTACTGGCCAGAGTGAGAGCCTATAGCTGGCTGCCACGAATAGGCAGGAAGATTCTATTGGCCAGCGTGAGAGCCAACAGCTGACTGACACGAATGTTAACTAGCATGCTAGCATGCAAAATAATCGATAGCTGCATTAGTCACAAGTGGGAAAAATTTAAATCCAATTGTCTCATTCGCTTGCTTAAACTCAACGTTGATTCTGATTCCGCAGAACTGGGTTTGATGTGAAAAATTATTTGTTGTTAACATTCTTTTTTCATTCGGTTTTTCCAGTTACGAGTCCTTTTTTTAAAGCTGATCGTTTTGTGTTCATTTTGTTTAGTTCTTTTTTTCGTAACAGATTTAATGTTTAGTATAGAGCTTAGAAAAAATTCACAGGCAAGAATTAAGGCATGTAGCAACATCAGCACGGCAAAGGGCACTCCTTTAAAGGCAAGGAAGGGCAAAAATATTTTAAGTCAAGTGATAGTGATTGCCGTGCCATGCTGCTAGTTATTTAAAAGACCAGCAACAAGGAAAGCTGGTTGATTGTGTCGTGCTAGACATTTTATCTCGCTAGAATTTATCATTCGTCCTGTCTTTGAATCTTGCTGCCATATCTGGCCTGGTATATATTTAGAGATCAGCAATATTATTAGTCCTGATATGGCATCTAGGGTTCAGCCTCTTTCTCACCGCCATAATGTAGATTCCTTGTGCATTTTCTTTAATTACTTGTAATTGTTCTGAAGAACTTTCCTCTATGGCACCTAGACGCGATGAATTTAAGCGCAGTATTAGATTGTCTGCAAGATGTCATCATTTTACATTAGAAACGGCTAGATGTAACCGTAAGTTCTATGCTAAGATTTTCTTCTATCACACTTCTCACTTTTAGAACTCTGTTCCGATTTTTCGCTTCGCAGTCAACTTTGATCTTCAAAATTCTAAATGCAATGTCAATCGTTATGTTCTGTATATTTAATTTATTTTCTTTTTTGATCTCTATCCTTTTCCTCAGATTCTTAAACACTCGGTAACCTTTCATGTCTTAGTGGCTTTATTTCCTTGTTTGTGGTGAAATGATAACTATAAACCTTTAGGTCTATGTAGAAGGAGCTTTTTTATATTGTGAAGCAATGGCAATTGCCGTACTTTTTTTTACAAAAGGATCGGAACCTGGATATTCACGTGTCTCGCAGAACAGACATTCCCTAAATAAGACCCCGTGTCTTGAGCGCTGATTGGGACATAATCTCTGCTCGGAGCTCAAATGGAACTCGTCCATCCACGTCCTTCTAGGTGACAAGGCGAGACGTCGTTAGTCACTCGCTACTCTATCGCTATTTCCGTGGAGAGTGTTCAGATGAAGAAAATACCTCAGTTCCACGGGTTTTGAGCTTCATCACTAAGAACCTCCAGGCCAACCACCCTTTGCTGGGATGTAACTTACACCCGAGTATCTTCTTCTCACGGAGCACAACCTTATGAAACCGACTCCCAAGTGTATGCTTCCCCAATCATTACAATCTTAACTTGTTTAAGTCTAGTGTTAACAAGTATCTTCCACACATATCCGCATAAGGTGCGCCTCTTACTAACCCTCTACCACGAGTGGCTTTCGGATCTTGTACAGGGTGAACTTTATTGTAAAAAGAAACAGATGTTGAGAATTAAATCGATGATTTTGTTATTCAACACATTTTCTTTACTAATATACTCATATCTTTTTCTTGCTTTCATTTTGCTTTCTGGGGGTTCTAGTAGGCACTGTGGAGTAATAGATAGCGGCTCGGATTGAGGACTCGGAGAGCCGAGTTCGAATTCCATTCAGATCCATTACATTCACCTACACTTGGAAACGGTATGAACCCTCCACTTCTCACCCCAGCTATGGGTAAATAGCAGGAAAGACTGGGTTCTATAGCCTTAGATGGCAACTGGTCTATCGCAGAAAGAAATGGCAACCTACTGCGGAAAATATCTACCTCCTCAGTCATGTATCGAAAGATACATGATCGCCTAAGCGTGTATCACGCATGGCACATAACTGACTGAAATTCACTTACGTGTTAATACCCTTGGGGAAAGGTACGAACCATCTTCTTCTCCTCCCCTCAACCAGCTATGGTTAAATAGCAGGACAGGTTCTATAGCCATGGATGGTTTAAATGGTCAACTGAAAGAAATGGCAACATAATGCGGGAAAAAAATCTGCCTCGTCAGTCATGTATCGAAAGATATATTAACGCCTAACCGTGTATCACCTATGGTACGACTGAAGATGAATTTTGTTTTTTTGTTATGCATATTTTCTTAATATGTCCCCGTCTTTTGTTTTTTATGCATGACGATATCATGGCTTGTCTTTTCATTATTCGACATAATTTCTTGACTAATATCTTCATCCATTTCTCATTTTTTGCATTGATTTTCATATTTGTAAAATTGCTAAGTAGTTCCTTTATTCCCACTCTTGACGAATATTATTATCGTTTGCCCGGTGATTCTGAAATAAAATTTAAAAAAAAAAATATTCCCATATTTTCTCGTTTTTCTTTTCTTTTTTTTTTTCTTCCATTTTTCTTTCGATATCTTTAGTTCTCTCGGCCATTTTTATTTTTTTTTATTTTTTCATCATTTTCTTTCTTTAGTATTTTTCCTGTCTACTCTTCTGTCAGTTCTTCACCATTTTCCCATTCTTTTTTCTAAACTCTCTTTTTTCTTTGGCTACCGATTCCATTATTTCTCGTTTTTTTTTTTTTTTTTTTTTTCCTTTTCCCTCGGGTTTCCCACTTTTTTTTCTTCTTTTACTTGCATGTCTTTTACTTTCTTCTCTTTTCTTATCTCCCTTTCTTTCATCCTTCTTCCTGAACTTGCCATTTTTTCGTGTTTTTCCTTCATTTCTTACGCCTTTATTTCTCTTTCATTTTCTTCGACATCAAATTATTCTTGCTTTTTTTTTTTTTTCCTTTTTCGCATTTCTTCTCTTTTTTTCATTTTTCTTCTGTCATGCTTTATCTTATTCTCCCGGGCCGCATTTTTTTTTTAATCCTACCTTTCTCTAGAGCGTGCGATGGATAAATTGTCGTCTAAATGGCGCCAAAAATGAAATTAACACTGACATAACATTTTAACAGATATCCAAGGAGCGATGGATAAATTGTCGTCTAAATGGCGCCAAAAATGAAAATAACACTGACATAACATTTTAACAGATATCCAAGGAGCGATGGATAAATTGTCGTCTAAATGGCGCCAAAAATGAAATTAACACTGACATAACATTTTAACAGAGAAACAAGGAGCGATGGATAAATTGTCGTCTAAATGGCGCCAAAAATGAAAATAACACTGACATAACATTTTAACAGAGAAACAAGGAGCGATGGATAAATTGTCGTCTCAATGACGCAAAAAAGACAACAGCACTGACGTCTCATTTTAACAGATATGCAAGGTGAGATGGATAAATTGTCGTTTAAATGACGCAAAAAATGAAAATAACACTGACGTCTCATTTTAGCAGATATACAGGATGCGATGGATAAATTATCGTCTAAATGACGCCAAAATTACAATAACATCGACATCTCGTTTTCACAGATATAATTGGTGCGATCGATAAATTGTCGTCTAAATGACTCAAAGATGAAAATAACACTGACATTTCATGTTAACAGATATACAGGGTGCGATGGATAAATTGTCGTTTAAATGGCGCAAAAAATGAAAGTAATACTGACATCTCATTTTAACAGCTATACAGTGTGCGATTAATAAATTGTCGTCTAAATGGCGCAAAAACGAAAATGACACGGAAATCACATTTTAAAAGATATATTTACCGAAATTATAAAAAAGTATCTTGAAATACTAAAGAGTAAATTTATTCAATAAAATCGCCATTGGGTTCAACCATGGCCTCCAGGCGACTTTGGAATCTCCTGCATTTCTCCTGGACGGTTTCCTTGTTTAATTTGGTAAATGCTGCCATAATCCTTGCCTTCAGTTCATCTTTGGTATTACAATATGTTTTGCGGGTCTCTCGCCCAACTTTTCCCCACACATAATAATCAAAGGGATTGTAGTGTGGGGAGTTAGGCGACCAGATATAAGGGATGATGTGGTTGCAAAAATTGTCTGACAGCCATGACTATGTTCTCCTGTTTATGTGGCATGATGCAGAGTCCTGTTGCCAGACATAGGGTCTTCCAGTATCCACCATCTTGACCCTGGGCAGTACTAACTCCGCGAAGCACTTGATGTGGGCCTACGTGCTGAGTCTGAGGTGCATCAGTAGAGCATGCGATTTCCAATTTTCTGGCGGAGTGAATGCGTTAAGGGTTCTCTTTCTCTCACAAACTTGTACGCAACTGACGCTACTAGCATGTGCCGTCGAGAAAATCAAAAACAAACAATGCGCATGCGCGAAATTAAAAATATAAAATGGCGATAATTTACCCATCGAAACCTGTATTTTTTTCTTTTCTTCTCGATTTCATTCCCCCGTCTCTATTTTCTTCTTTTCTCTTCCTTTGTTCCTTCTCTTTATATCTCTTCCTATCTTCGTGACTTCATTCTTTCTCTCTCTATTCGTCTTACTCTTTATCCCATTCTCCTTCTCCCTTTTCTCATATTCCTTTTCCTTCCTTCCTTCCGGCTCCATTTATTATCTCTCTTTTCTTCTTTTCCCCGTCTCTTTTCATCTCTCCTCTTTTCTTTCTTTTTTCTCTTCACATTCCGACTTTATTCTTTCTCTTGCTTTTCGTCTTTCTCATTCCTTATATCATTCTCTCTTTTCTTCTCTAATTCCTGCATTTTCGCTTTCTCTCCTTCTTCTCTCCGTTTCCTTTACTCTTTCGTCTCATCCTCTCTTTGTATTCATCTCTTCCTCTTTTCTTATGCCCTTATCTTTTTGTTCTATATTTCTTTTCTTTCTTTTTTTTTTCATCGTATTTCTTTTGTTACATCTGCCTCATTTTTCCCGATCTTTTCTGTCTTTTCTTCTCTCGTTTCATATTTCTTATTTTTCTCATGTCCCAGTTTCTCTTTTTCTTCTCACTTCCTTTTCTTTTCGCCTTTGCTCTCCTTCTCGCTTTCTCTCTCATCCTACTAATTCCTTATCTCGTTCGACCTTTTCTTCCTTCATTTCTTCTCTATACTCTCTTTTCTTTTGTTCACTTTCTCTCGTTCTCTCTTCTACTAATTCCATATACCTTTCCAACTTCTCTTCTTCTATTTCTTCTCCCCTTTTTTATACCGTATATCTCTGCGTATTAGACGACATATAAATCCTGAAATCACCTTTAAAAATTGGCGGTCGTCTTATACTACGATTCTAAAAAGAAAGAAACCTTAAATTCTTAGTAGGCTTATTTCAGGCTCGATGCGATAATCAGTAATCTACATGAAATGATTCACATTATCAAATAAGCTGATTATAAAAGTAATAAAACTATTTCTACCTTATATATTACGGACATAATTTCATTATAAATTGCCTTTTCGAAGAATAATTCCCTATCAATGAAATCAACTTGTATCCATGTAAGCTCAGCTGAGATAATCTAAACATTGAGTTATGATATTCACAGAAATTGAATGTAACATTATCTTAAATCATCGTACTCTTATTAGCGGTATTTTGTGATTGTCGATGAAGTATAAGTAAATGGTCATTAGTACACTAAGCTGTTTTCAGCTGTTTAGATATAAGAAAAGAATAGGAAGAAGAAGAATCAGAATTATCAAGAGATCACTTGATGAAACGCAAACAAAATAACGTAGGAGAAGTAGGATACAGATTCAGTTTTGTTATATCATTTTAAATTTCTAAGGATTTTCTTTATTTTTGAACTCGTCTTATTTAAAGGTCACCTTATACGCAGAAGTATATGGTAGTAGTCTTATTCTCGGCGTCATTTTTCTACTCTCTTTCACCATTGTCTCTTTCCCTCTTTTAAGATTTAACTTTTATTCTAATCACTTTTCTCCTCTTCTCTCTTCTCTCTTCTCTTTCTTTCCTCGTTTCTCCTCCTCTGTTGTACATCTCTACTTTCTCTTCTCTTCTTCTCTCTTTTCTCATTGTCTCTTTCCTCTTTATGCATCTCTTTTATTCCCTCCTTCTTTGGTTGTATAGCCCTTTGTTGAGGGATCGGTCTTGGGACGACAGTGTCGTTTCGATCATGAAGATGGCTTCTTACTCGCAGCCGCTGATCGCTAGTTGTATTGTTCGGAGACAAACGAGAGAACTTCAATAAAGGAATTTTAACTTACTAGTTTAGTAACTGTTACAGTTTTTTGGATATATGTACTAGTGAGCCAGTCAAAATGAGCTGACCCATTTTATAATTCACCAATAGAAGCGTTAACCAATCAGAAAGCTCAAAATATTCAATGCGACGTGTATAAAGGCAGCCATTTTGTTTTTTTCCCACAAATTATCCTCACTGCCAACCTGATATCGAAGACGTAAAGAATTAGCAGCCGCTAATTGAAGAGATTACGGACTTCACTGGATTCCATATTCAGAGTCTACGGCAAACATGGTCAACAGTAACGATGTCGACGTGTACATCTTTAACTAGCCCGTGGGGTCGACTCTCACCCCCACTGGGGAGCAAGTTCCAAGACAAAATATGACACGTCTATATTCTTCGACGTGTAAAACTAAATTTACCGAAATCCCTTTCTACATCCAACATTTTCACACTAGTTTTAGCCAACCAAAAACGACTTTCTTTATTTTACTTTATCTGACCGCAAAGGTCAAAATGAGGACGTCAGAGGAGAAATACAATTCTCTGAAAAATAATAGTCCGCTAGTCTATTATTTAACATTTACATCTCTCTTTTATTTTCTTTCTCTCATTTCGTGTTTACTTTCTCTCCTTATTCTCTCTCTTTAACATCTAACTTTTAGTCTCACCTTCTTTCTTTTCTTCTTCCTTTCTTTCCATGTTCGTTGTCTACATGTCACTTTTTACAGCTCCTTTCTTCCCACGTTCCTTCTTTTACACTCACTTTCTCTATTGTCTCCTCCTCTCTTTTTATATCTCTCTTTTATCCTCTCCTTCTATTTTTTTTTCTACACTCTTTTCTCTTTGTCACCTCACTGTTTCACATACATTTTATATTATTAGACAATTAACCGTCTTCTCCCACCCGGGACCACACCCGTCCGTGCTGCCACAAGGACGAAACCGACAGATCGACAACAACAAAGGCGAGGTAATTCGTCAAAATCTAAATTTAATATCCGCCATTTTTTTTTCTATTTCATATATTTATAGCTTTATTGCATTCTAAATATTTTTTTTCCTATTGATTTGTCTTTCTTTATGTACATATTATTCATTTATTTCGATATTACATTCTTTGTTTTCCTAGGCTCGAAATCATATCAGAATACCCCAAACACGTCCAAGCCGCTTTACGTAATCACGTGACGCTCGTAAATTAACCCTTTTCTCTTCTTTCAGTTTTGCATCTTTCCGCCCGCAAAGATACGCGCTAAAATCCACCCAAAACTGAAATCACTATTTCTGTCCTTCCGTCGCCATCTTGTAATTAAGTCGTCAATATTAAAAGCGTTAGATAAAACAATGTCACTGGTTTTTTTTTCTTCTTCTGATTCTTTATCAAAAAGAAAAGAAAAAAAAAGTAAACTTTAACATATCATATCCAAATGAAACTGCAATTTGAGAATGGTTCTTTTGTTAGGAGGCACTCTGTAACCAGTGAAATGTCGTGTCGATATGAAAGAGCATCACATTTTTAGCTTTAATATTCTTTGAAAGGATTCCGAGGAGCCTAGATAATGTTTGTAAGCACACGATGAGGCCATTTCAATGACATGCAACGCCATTTTTTTTAAAAAAATATTTTAGAAGATTTTTCCAAATCGTACACTATCCTGTCCACAGAACTCGTATTACTTAGAATAATTCGTTTACAAGCAAACATCTAAAATGAAGCGTATACTGGAAAGCAATCTATATCTGATTGATAATGAAATAATGTATAACTAATTAAATGATCGGTAGGTTAATAAATTGCATTTAGATTCAGGAATCGGAGATCTGAGTTCTAATTCCAATCGGTTCCATTACATTAAATTACGTGCTAATACCCTTGGGAAATGAATCGAACACTTCTCACACCCGCCTATGGAAAATAGCAGGGTAGACTGGGTTCTATAGCCTTGGGTAGTAACGGGCAAGGAAACTCAAAACTGTATATAAGCACTTACTGTGCAGCTAAGAGACTAGACTAACCAAATTATATAGGCTTCATGCTGATCAATAAAAATATATATTAATCAAAAATTTGAACACGATGTTCAAGGGATGTAGATTTTATAACCGATTTCACAAAGCTTCACAAATGTTTATGCGTACCACCTGTGAAAAGACACACGGCAAAAAGTTGGTAGTCCATCTCCTGCCAAACATGCTGTAGCATGTCGTGAGTAACATTTTCCTGCACCTCAGCGATTTTCTGGTTAAGTTCCTCTATGCTTGTGAGAAGAGAGAGGATATAGACCTCTCCTTTCGCATAGCCCTATAAAAAAATATTAAGATGTTGTCAAGTCAGATGAACATGGTGGTCATTTCAACAGCACATTGTCATTACCACTGGTACATCCGATTCATCTTCCTGGCAGATTCTCATTGAGATACGCGCAACACCTGTGACACGACACGCGACAAGTTGGTAGTCCAGCTCCAGCCAAATACGCCGTAGCATGCCTTGCGTAACATTCTCCAGCGCCTCAGTGATTTTCTTCTCAGGTTCCTCTAGGTTTGTAGGATGAGCGGGGATATAGACTCCTCCTTTCACGTAACGTCATAGAAAAAAATTCACAAGGATATCAAGTCAGATGAACACGGTGGTCATTTCAACAGCACATTGTCATTACCACTGGCACACCCGATTCATCTTCCTGGTGGATTCTCATTAAGATAAGTCCACACAGTCAACAGGTTTTTTTTAAACATTTTCTAAAATTTGAGGTCGTTTGTGCAAGCACTGGTTATGACTTCAAAATTATGTCATTTTTTTTTTTGTGGGGGTCGCCCTGTATATTTACTGGTGATATAAATTGTTGCTATATAGAATGCGTTTATCTTGGGAGATAATGGTGGCCTCCTGTTTGGTGAAACTAGAATGAAAACACGAGTGTGCACGCCTGGACATAGGTGTATTGAGATCATGCGTAGCGTAGGTTATATGCGCCCCACCTCGGCTTATCGACAAGATGGAAATAACTACAGGAAATTACAATTGGAGCCGGTTTGGAAGCAAGAGTTGTCGTTTGTTTGTTAGTGTTGACATCCAACCGCCTTCAGGGCTCCATTCCGGACTTTCTGTCTTCAAGAACCTTTTCCGTGTTTAGATATGACCACAAGGTAACGGAGGTTTAAAATTATGGTTTTACTTCTTCCTAGATGGTTTATGGTTTGTAAAACATCCAAAACGAAACTGCTTTCCTTTACCCACCACAAAGAACCCTTTCTGCCTCCCATCAGAATGGCTGATTCCTAACTCCTTGAGAGCTCCTCGTTACTTGACTTGACTTTGACTTGTTTCGGTTTTCACCCTGGTCGGGTTGAACCAACTTCCTCCCGAGCAAGTACAGTATCACGGACCATCGCTGCCCACGCTCGCCGATCCTGAGCCAGGTCACACGAAATGGCGAGCCAATCGCAATTCCATCGTCGAAGACCAACTACTTGTGGACCCGATAGTACTGCTAGGTCATCCTTGATTGTGCTAGCCCACGTCCTCAGCTGCCCACTGACACGTTTTCGCCAGCCAGGAAGAGAAGGAGGGAGAAGTACATCGCAGATGAGCTCTCCCTCCGGACGTCGAGCTGCGTGCCCGAACCATCGGAGACGACGCTGGAGCAGGATGGGTGGAAGAGGACGGAGACTCAGGCGACGACGTAGAGCACACGATCGATTCGACGGCATCGTAGAATGCAGCGAAGGCAACCGTTGTCGAACACTTCAAGCCTTCGTAGGTCAACCGCTCTAAGTGGCCATAGAGAAGGATAGTCCGAACAATAGCCTGATAGATGCGCCCCTTCGTAGCCGTGGAACTCTCCCGTCGCCCCATAGTGACCGCTTAAGACGCCCGAATGCGAACCTTGCAGCTCCTATACGGCGTTCAACCTCAGCAGCAGCCTGCCCGGATGGTACATTGGTTGAACCGAGATAGACGAAAGACTGCACGTCCTCCAGATTGACCCTGTCCAGCGTCAGTGGCTGCCAATTGGCTGGATTAACCAGGGACGGCATAACTTTGGTCTTCGAGGCATTGATGGTTATACCCACATCCCACGCTGTAGCCAGCACACGGTTGAGCGCAGCTTGCACATCGTCACAGTTTGATCCGACCAAGACAATGTTGTCCGCGTAGGCCAGATCAGATACCCTGACATTCCGACCAACCTCAACTCCAACGTAGTCCCGAAAAGCCTTGGTGAGTATGTAGACGATTGTATAGTTGAATAGGGTAGGGGTTAGGGCACATCCTTGCCGCAGACCAGTCTTCACCACAAACGTCTCCGACTCCTCACCATAAGCACGAACACGGGCTCGCGTCGACCAGTAGTAGCCCTTGATAAGACGAAGGAGTTTAGCAGGCATGCCATCGGCCTCCATGATACGCCAGAGTGGACAATGGACTCGAAAGCCGCCGCAAAGTTGACGAAGCAGAGGACTATTGGTTGCTGGTATACCCAGCGTTTTTCGAGGGTGCGCCGCAGGCTGAAGATCTGATCAACACAGCCTCTGCCCGGGCGGAAGCCACCCTGAGACGGGCGAGTTCGCAGATCACGCATGCCTTGAAATCTTCACAGGAGAAGCACTGCAAATTCTTTGGCCACCACGTCGATGAGGCTGATTCCTCTGTAGTTCGAGCAGAGTCTCCTGTCACCCTTTTTGAAAAAAAGGTAGCAGGATGCCCTCGCTCCAATTTGCTCTTGCTCCTCGTTACGCCTGCTTGGTCTCACGCTGTCCACCGACATGAGGTGGAATAAATACATTGAATCAATAGCTTCATCTACGGCAAGGAAAGTTGGTTCTCTGTGTCATGCCAGATAGTTTTTTCTCGTCTGAGTCAATCTTTCAAATCTATAAATCAACTACCTGTCCTTGCAGGGAATATTGCTGTCATATATCGACTGGTGCTCCCGCTGTACGCCTCGAGGTCATTGACAAAATCCAGAGACGAATATGCAAGATGATAGGTCCTGACCTGGCATCTAGTCTCCAATCGCTATCCTGCAGATGTCCCGTGGTCCCACTCTGTCTCTTCTGCAAATATATTCACGGCAAATGTACCGACGAGCTACTTTCGCTGGTTTGCTGGATTAAAGGAATTTAAGCATGCTACCAGGCTGGCATCTCGGTCCAACCCTTTCACTGTCAAAACGGTTAAATGTAACCGTCTCTTCTACTCAAACAACTTCTTTTTTCGCACTTCCCGTCTGTGCAACTCCCTTCCCCTTACTTGCTTTCCCGATAACTATAATCTTCATATATTCAAGTGTAATGCCAATCGACATATGACACCTTGAGCTTGTATCCCGTCCTTCTTTTTTATCCTTTCCCCAAACACGTCTCTTTACTCTTGTTTTCAATTCTCTGTAACCCATTGCGTGCCAGCGGCACTCTCACATTACTTGGGGGGGGGTCCTTAAAAAAAAAATGAAAATCTTCCTGGGTTGACGTGCTTCTACCAGAAAAAGATGATTACGAAGCGCCAGTGGTTCACCTTCTCCGGCTTCTTATTTTTCAGAGGCTATTTGACAGCCATATGATGGGAAATTATTTCTATACTTAAAAATTGTTTAAAATGATGCTTGGTTTTATTTAAAATTTATTTATTAAAACTTATTTGTCCCCTGAGTTCCTGGGCTCTTCTGCTCCTGGCTCAAACTTCGCAAATAATTGGTATGCTATGTTTCACGGCAGATATAAAAATAGTTACAAGTGTTTACCCAGCATTCAACCAATAGCTGGACAGTAAGTTATTTGTCTCCACTACTGTTCAACCGGTGGCTGGGCATTACGTCATTTTTCTCTACCACCGGTAAAGCGGTGGTCAGGGCTCAAACTGTTAGCTCAGTAATGGT